TGGGTCATGCCCGTCTACCCGGGTTTTGCACATAAAATGGGGCCTGAGCAGAACAAAGGGGCTCAGAACATGCCTGTGCAGCCTACAAGAGAGGCCTGGATCTCATAGAATGACTCAGCAAATCTGGGTAGAGGTTGACAGGGGGAGTTGGACTAGCAGGGCCATGTTCTAATTATTCCACTTCAGGAGAGAGTCTAAACATTTCAGCCCGATAACTGAGCCCAATCTCACTCTGCCCCAACCTACCTCACCTCAAGCTAAGGGGTCCAGGTCCAAATGACACTCATGTGTGTGTTTTGGGCTACCATAACAGGATAGATAATTTTTAAAGGATTCAAAGACATGTGGACTTTCCTAAACCCACTGGGACTAAACCCAGCAGACTGCAGGCTCCAGTCCACACCGACCTTCACAGTCATCCTAGCTCTCATGTCATTCCCAAGGGGCTTAGCTTGGACCAGAACCAGAAGTTGATGAGAACTAGCTAAGAAAGCAGATTTCTTGATGGGAAGGGGTAAAAGAACAAGAACTCTAGGCTGAAACCCCTCTTGGGTGACTGCCTCAAATTCTCAAATCTGTAATCAAGTAGACTGTATTGCTCTCAAACCAGTTGACCATGTGTGATGGATGACTGGCTGTGAGGTGGGGTCCAGGCTGTGTTCCCCTAGAACCCAGCAGGCACCACACGCCCCACATACCTGCTATGGCTGAAGCTATCCAACCACACTGAGCTCAGAGGGTGGGCTCCGGGGCAGGGCCATCCTTGCAGGCCACGCTGTGCGTGACCCAGTGACTCATCCACAGGAGATCATCAGTGAACATGAGTTAAAATAAATGTACTGACCCATCTCGGAGATGGAAAACCTTAGACAATGGGGAAGCAGACATGGTAAAAGAATGGAGGGAAGGGCACTGTCCCACCATATAACACTTCAACATAAAATCCTTCACAGGGGCACCCACATACATACTCAAACCCCAGCACCTGTACAGGCCTGGGAACTTCTGAACTTGCCCAGACATGGACTGGACTGGTGCAAAGCTCTCTGGAGGTCAAGTGTAAATATTGTCTGTGTCTTTGTGGCTTAGTATCAATGCTGCCTTGTCTCAGTCCTACTACTGCCAACTACATACATACTCAAGTTCTGCCTCATCCGTATTTCCTTGGGCTGTGAAACTCAGGCAGGAAAAGGGCCTTAGCTTTCCCTTTTGGCACAGGAAAATGAGAGCCATTGACCACTGCCCATACAAGCTGACAGGAAGCCCACCACAGCCTGTACTGGCTCTGTGACCTTCAGCAAACTCCTTACCCACTTCAGCCTCAGGTTCGTCATGTGTAAAATGGGGATGATAATTTTATCTACCTTGTAATATTGTGTGATTAAATCTGGCACAATGTATGTAACATGCTTAGCACAGGTCCTAGCATAAAGCAAATGCTCCATAAACGCTAGTTATTGTTATGTTTAGCTCTGAAAGTAGGAAAGTTTTATGGAGAAGGGAGAAGGAAAAAGAAATATCAAAGTGGAAGAGGGATCAAGGGCATCCCTCAAACTGGGCCATGAAGTCCTTCAAGTTTGGGAACGCGTCCAGGCACTTAGGCTCAAAGATATGGTTTACGTCAAGGATGTCATAAGCAAGGAAATCCGCAAAGGTGATCTGCAGAAAGCCAAGGATGGGTGGGTGAGATGCTCCATCATCTGGGAGGAATGACAACTCTGTGTCCCCTTGTCTTCCCCCTTTACCTTGTCCCCTGCAAACCACAGCCGCTTCCCCAGGAACTGCGAGAAGAGCCTCATCTTGTCAGGGATCCCCTCCAAATACTTCGGCTTCAGCTTCTCCTGCAGCAGAAAACAGCTATCACCACCCTCAGACCCCACTCCCTGGGCAGAGAAGCAGCTCCCCCACTGCTGTGATGACCCAGGTGTCCACCGGAGAGCCACCATCCTCCTTGGACTGCCCTTGGGCCAGTGCCCAGGCTTTCATTTAATCAACCAGCATTTATTAGACCCCGTCTACACATCAACTCCATCTGTCAGAGGCATGGGAAGGCCTAGAGGAAAATGACACTGACTTGAATCTGCCACTGATCTCCACCAACCCGCCTATTGGTCAGACCCAGGGGTGAGCCCCTGGCCAAGTGTGCAACTCGGACATAAAGGAACAAGAATTACGAGAGCTCGGGGAAAAGAAGTAGAAATTCTTGCTTGTGGGGTGGCACAATTACCGAAAGGACATTTGAGTAGTTTCCTGAAAGTTGAGAATTTGAGATGCTGAAAGGAGGGAGGGAGGGGAGGGCATTCCTGCAGAAACCAAGACTCTGTGGTGACCTGTGTGGCTAACAATCGGGATATATGAGAATCCTCTCAGTTATCATGGGAAAGATGCTGGGAAAACAAATTAAACACGTTCTTTCGGAACTTAATTTCGACATTGGGGAGTCTAGACTTTATCCTAAAATTGGAGAGGGTTGATTCAGAGTTTTCAGTAGATGAGATTTAGGGTTATGATGATCACTCTGGCAGCAGTATAGGGGACCCCTTGGAGAATCTGTAGCTCTAAGGAGTTCATATGGCAAACAGGAGCCCTGTAGACGGGAATGCAAGAGTCCCGACTCCCAATCCAAACCCTGCCCTGGCCCACTGGGAACTCACAAAATCAGGGTTGTAGCACAGCATGACTAAATCCCTGCGGGTGTCCATAACCTGGTTCTCCAGGATGTCCACACGAATCTTCTCTACTTCTGTCTCCCCACCTACAGCCCACACATCAGACACTCACCCTCAGCATCCCACCCCAGCCAAGCCCAGGGAATGGACGCCTGGCCTCCTGTGTCCCCGCACCTGTCCCCAGCCCCACTCACACAGGTTGTGCTTGCGGGCAATGTAGCGCAGGATGGCGTTGCTCTGGGTGATCTTGTAAGGCCCATCAATTAAGTAGGGCAGCTGCAATGGCAACCAGGCAAGTGTGGTGTACCACCAGGCTCCCCCATACCCCCATCCCCTTAGTAAGGGCAGAGCTGGGACCTGGCACACTCAGGGCCTGGCAGATAGTACCCGTAATCCCATGGTAGGCACTAAATAAATATATGTACAGCACACGCATGATCTGGAACAGGGAATACAATGGAAAGGCAGTGAAGAGAACTAGGAGTGAGAGAGGTGGAGCAGAAGGTACATGATCCTAAAACCTCCAGGCTGGGGAAAGGAGATGGAGGGAGAGACGCCTTTCACTTTCCCCCACATCCTGCACTTACATTGGGAAAGTCCAGGCCTAGCTTGAATTTCTCATTCAGCCAGTGGCTTCTGTTATAGTCAGGAGCTATGGTGGAAACAATGAAATGAAAACAAACCTCCTAGTAGTCCAACATTCCTTCCCCAGAAACCATACCAAGAGTCATTGCAAGACACCCTGAGACTGGTGGATCTGGAATCTGACAGAACCACTAAGTCTCACTCTGCCAGGAGTAAGGCTTACAAAAGGCTTAGGCAAGCCCTAAGGGGGAGCTTGATTCCAATTATTGATAAGGGGTGGGGCAGCAATTCCCTCCCAGCATCCTGAGCTTGCAGGCCAGAGCTGCACAGCCAAAGGGAACCCTGGAAGGGCAGGCCCCAGATCCAGGTGGTGGAGGCCCTGCAGAGGTGGGCAACTGGTGGCCAGGGCAAGGGCTGCTTGTTACCAATCAGCATTAGTTGGCGGAGGGGCCAACCCAAGGGTGCCATTACCGTCCCCCATTGTGTACTTCTTTTCCTCATAGTTTGAATCTGTGTATTCCAGGAGCAGGCGGATGGTATGACCTAGCTGGGAGAGAAAGTAAGGGGGAAGGATCAGAGATGGAGGGATCCTGCCTGCTTGACTTTATCTCCTCCAGGTAAGCCAGCACCACCTGCACCAGAGAGGGACAGAGGAGAAAACCCCACAGAGATCGCTCCTGATGCCTCTCACTACACCCCACTCCCACCCCATCTGGGCCAATGTACCCAGCCTGGAGGGGGCCAGGCTGCAGGATGGGGCTCAGCTCCAGCAAGCCCTAAGGAGGAATCTTCCCAGAGCTACTCAGCACTTCCTTGCCAGCTCACCCCTGTCCCACCCGAGCAGGCAGGCGGACTCCTTGCTTACCCCGCGGAGGTCCCAGCAACCCAAAATCATGGCCATGGTGCAAGTTTCCTCCTTCTCAGCCGACAGGGCTCAAGGGAGCTGAGGTGGGAAATTATCAAGGCTGTCGGGGGGCGGGGCGATCCTTGATGCTTGGCCCCTTTCCTTGTCCCGCTGCTTCGGAGCATTTCCCTACCACCACCTCCCGCCCCTGCCCCACCCAACGCCTGATTCGCAGACATCCCAGCACCCCTTCCTCCGCCCTATCCCCTCCCCCCCCGCCCCCCTCTAGCCCCGAGCTCTGGGCGCCCAGCCCAGAGGGCGGGAGGAAGTAAATTCCGTTTCTGCCATCTGCCCTGAAGATTCGGGTAGCTGAGGTTTGAAGCATAGAAGCCCAATGCGCCTGGACCCCTGGTCCCCTCAGTAGCTTCAGCTGCCTGCGTTCAAACCTTTGCTAGGTCCAGGGGGAGACCGCCGTGCCCTTGGGGAAACAAGCCAGAAACACTAGAGGAGCAACGCTTCTCGCATCCCTTTCCTCAGACCCTTGCTCAGCCTTGGCTCCTCGGTACTGAGTTCCCCAGGACCCTGGGAGGCTCAGGCTGTCTGTGTCAGGCCAAAACGTGACCGCTTACGACCAGAGAGTTTAAATCAGTACCTATACAAGGAACAAGGACTCCTGGCCCATCAGAAAAGCTCCTCGGAGTCCTGATATTACATGATGGGTTCTCCTTTTGGACAGGAGTGACCAACCTCGACAAGGGACAGAGAATAGGAAATATGGTCTCAGTGTTTTCTTTTCATGGACTCTTTAGGACCCTGCTCTTTGACAGTCCTCTGGCAGAGGATTATAAGGACCAACTGCAAATCCATTAACATTCCAGCCCAAGATGTGAACCTAAATCCAAGAATCAGACCCTGCAATAAGGCTGGGTATGCAGTGCAGCCTCAGAAACGTCCTGCCAGCCAGCTAGATGACCCTTGCATTGACCCACCCCCAGACCAGGACAGTGACATGAGAGTGGTGGTCACAGAGGGCACGTGAGCAAGGGAGGAAAGAGTGTTTCCTCAGAGGGGCCAGATGCCTGGCCTGCTGCTGAGGGAGGCCAGAGAGAGGTGAGGCCAGCGTGGAGCCAGGAGGACTGCCCACAGAACCAGTGTCACACTGACACCACAGTCCCTCATTACACAGGATGTCCAGTCCCGCGCATGGATTGTAACCCTGGCTCTGACTCCTGACTCATGGTCTTAGGTAAGACCAAGGTCCCCTGAGCCTATTTCCTCACTTGTGATTTGAGAGGCGTGCCTTAGGTGGCCTTTGAAGCCACTCTGTGACCAGTGACTCAGGGTACAATCTCCACAACAATGTTCTACCTGCCAACTTTTCTCTTTGAAGGTGGAAGAGTATTTCAGTGATAACATGAAATAATTTATCCTGTGGTTTATTTTCTTTTGTTCAAAGCATAGTATAAGATTTAATGGATGTATGAAAACAAATGCGAGGAAGTTTAAAAAAGAAAATGGTTTACAGTTAATAAAGGGCAAGGTTGGTGCACTACAGAAAAGTCAGTTTTTAAAATTTCTGCCATGAGAAGGAATGAAGTTCTAATACATAATACAGTATGGATGGACTTTGAAAACATTATAGTAAGTGAAATAAGCCAGACAAAAAAAGATAAATTTTCTATGACTCCCTTTACATGGACTATCTAGAATAGAAAAATGTATAGGGACAGAAAGTAAATTAGTGGTTACCATGGGCTAGGGGGAGGGATGAATGGGGAGTTACTGCTTAACGGGTACTGAGTTTCAGTTTGGGGTGATGAAAAAGTTTTGGAAATATTGGTGATGGGGGCACAACACTGTGTGAGAATGCCACTGGATCATGCTATTAAAAATGGTTAAAATCACAAATTTTATGGTGTGTGTATTTACCACACACACACAAAAATTGTCATATTGTTAGGATAGCAAGGTATGAGACCAATATTTCAATAAAGGTGTCAAACCATCAAGATAAAGGGTAGCATGGAGGTTGCAGTAGAAGACAGACTTTGGCTGACCCCTATTAGAAGATAGAAGTCAGATGGTCTGTGGGTCTGTGCTAAGTTGGGGAGCTCAGAGCCTGTGTCACTAGTGGCCAGCAGGGAGCAGTCCACGTTGCAGATGCTCCCCACCTGTTCAAACCATGCCAGTCTTCCCAGTTTTTGGTTTGGGTCCAGGTTCAGGAAGCAGCCTCTGGCAATAAGGTGGATTCCTGGGTAGCTTTGCCCACAGGGAGTCCACGCACCAATCCACACACATAAGTGCTCGCTCCTCTGAATAGTTGTAGCTCTCATTATACATTAAAGAGTTGGTCATTCTGAATTTTACACATCTTGGAAGGAAAAAATTACTAGATTCAACTGAGAAAATAGAAATCATAAAGGATAAAAAGCACTAAGAATAATAACATTATAAATAGGTAGAACAGATACTGTTAAATTAGCATTCATCCATTCTATCCTTTATTTGGTCAAAAAAGAATCTTTGAGATCCTGGATGCCTTAGTTATCTAGTGCTGCTATAACAGAAATACCACTAGCGGGTGGCTATAACAAACGGAAATTTATTTTCTCACAGTTTAGAAGGCTAGAAGTCCAAATTCATTGCGCTGGCTCTATGGGAAGGCTTTCTTTCTCTCTGGGCTCTGGAGGAAGGTCTTTTGTCTTTTCGTCTTCTGCTTCCTGGTTTCTTGGAGATTTCTGTGTGCTTGGTATCTATCTTACCAACTCACCTTGCTAGCTTTCCTTTAATCTCTTTTTATATCTCAAAGGAGATTGACTCAAGACACACCCTCCACTAATCCTGTCTCATTAATGTAACAAAAACAACCCACACCCAAAAGGGATTATTACAACAGGCCTAAATACCTAACTCGTTCCCCTCCAATGGATTGTAACTCAGAGACCCTATAGGTCAGAGTAGAACTGCTGCATAGTGTTTCCAAGGATGTTAATGTTTATGGAAACTGACTGCCACATCTTTCTCCCTGGAATGGCTGGTAGGTTCCAACTGACGACCATTTGGTTACAGCTGAGCGCTTTAACCACTGCACCACCAGGGCTCCCTATAGGCATAGAAGTTAGGATTTATAATACATATTTTGGGGAACACAATTCAATCCATAACACTGGGATATACTAGACATCATGAGTAAAACAATCCAAGGAGATTGGATATTTATTTTTATTTTCATAATGTAGAATAAAATTCTAACTCACAAAAAAAGACCAGACTTACTGGTCTGACAGACACTAGAGAAACCCTGAGAATATGGCCCCCGGACAACCTTTTAACTCAGTACTGAGGTCACTCCTGAGGTTCACCCTTCAGCCCAAGATTAGACAGGCCCATAAAACAAAACAAGACTAAATGGGCGCACCAGCCCAGGGGCAAGGAAGAGAAGGCAGGAGGGGACAGGAAAGCTGGTAATGGGGAATCCAAGGTCAAGAAGGGGAGAGTGTTGACATGTCATGGGGTTGGCAACCAATGTCTTAAAACAATGTGTGTACTAACTGTTAAATGAGAAACTAGTTTGTCTGTAAACCTTCATCTAAAGTACAATAAAAAAAGTACCCCCCAAATATACATATATATGTAACAGAACATTTGTCAGTTCAACATTTTTCAGGTATATAATTTAGTGATATCAAATACACTAATCATGTTGTGCAACCATCACCACAATCATTCCCAAATTTCCAGGCTATTAAAGGTTGAATAGAGGGGTAGATTTTTTTTGAAATATAGGACACTCTTTAGTGTGTTTCAACACCCAGAGGCAGTAGAGAGGGAGAGAGGTGGAATGGGAGAAAGAGGCAATGCTTGCTAGGACAAGGTCTTTGAGGACACAGGAAGATGGCCCAGAGCACGGTGGACCCTTCAGAAGGAGGAATCCAATTCTGCAGAAGGAGGAGGACTAGACAATCAGATTCTCAAACACAGGATCTACAGGGACCAAGAGGATCATGCCAATGGGTGAAATGGGTCTGTGAAAGACAACAGGGAGAGGCAGGTGTTAGGGTGATTTCCCTCTGTGGTGCAAATGGTTAAGCACTTGACTACTAGCGGAAAGGTTTGACCCACCCGGAGGCACCTGGGAAGACAGGCCTGGAGATCTGCTTCTGAAAGGCCACAGTTCAACTCTGCACACATGGGGTCACCATGAGTCGGAATTGAGTCAACTGGTAACTAACAACAGCTGAGTTTGGGAAAATGTAGGCCACATTTTCCCAAGCATAAAAAGGGGATGACTGAAAAACCAAAAACCAAATCTGTTGCTGTCGTGTAGATTACAACTCATAGCAACCCTACAGACCAGAAGTACTTAAATTATTGATTCTAAAATGCACGTTTGCATCACATTCTAACATCTCTGAAATCAGGATATGTCTTACACTTCATAGCACATTGTAGCTTAGATGGTAGATTTTTTTTTTCTTATTTGTACCATCAAATAATGGTGCATACTGCAATCAATGACATCTTAAATTTCTTAGAATAGAGTCTGTGCTTTGTTCCCCTTCTCTCTGGCCTATAGCTTTTAATTATAGTCTGTTTCTTAGAGCCGACTTACATATTCCATTTATTTTTTGTTAGTGTCCTCAGTAAAAGTTTCCTTTACCTGTTGCTCATTAAAGATACACATAGATCCAGGTGTAGTATTCAAACCATTTAACAAGAGTTAAATAGGCATGGTTGGTTGTTCAACCTTTATTTAAAACAAAAGAATACAGCCCTTGCCCCAGCTGTTGACTTAAGAGCAGTAATTCTCAAACTTATCTGCACATTAGAATCACCTGCAGAACTTTTAATAAAAATACTGATGCTGGGCTGGGCCTCGTCACAGATCAATTGGGTCCACATCCTTGAGGGTGGTGGCATCAGTATGTTTTCAAGCTCCCAGGAGATTGTAGGGGATTCTCTTGTGGGCCAGGGTGAGGAGAGCTGCATTATAGCACATGCTGCCTCCTTGATCAGACACCAGAACATCTGCACTAGAGGTTTTGTCAGTACATGTAAGT